TGATCTCACCCCCCCGCAGCCCAGGCAAACATGCAGCAGCTCCAGAGCAGAGACTACACCCAGACGCTCGTACCCCAGCCTGGCCGAGCCAGCACTGACCACCCAGAGCCACCGCAGCCTCTCCCATGGGGTCTCATCCCTCCGACACGCAGCCATGGCACTGGAGGCAAAACCACAGCAACCACATCGCAGCAACCGCGCCAACAACACCCCTCCTCCCCCAAAGCGCGCAGCTGCCTCGCATGCCCCGCTCCTACCTGCCCTCCATGTCCGCAGCCAGGAGCTCCCCCAGCCCCGTCCCACAGCCCCTTTATGGCCTCTCCTGGCACAGCTGGGCAGCCCCTCCTGCAGCCCCTTTATGGCCTCCTCTGGCACAGCTGGGCAGCCCCAGCCCAGGTGCGGGCAGGTTTCAGAGAAGGGCTCCTCTGCCCCGGCCCAGCCCTGCCTGCAGCAGGGCCCTTATTTGTCAAACCTTGCAAGGTTCTCAGTGAAGGGGTGATCTATGCGATTGGTAGGAGATGAATTTAAAACTGTGAAAGGCAGGTCATCTCCATTCCATGAGCAGCAAACCCTGGTGACCACACTGCTGCCATGGGATCTGGGAGCAGACAGAGCTGGCAGCTCCAAAAAGCAGCTGGGCAACATCATGGACAGTAGATCTGTTCATAACTGGAGATTCCAGGGAGCAGCTGGGATATACCCTCCAACATTGTTAATCCAACAGTCGTGGTCGCTTGGGACTACAAGGGGAACAGTGCAGAGAGTGGCCCAGCTTGCTGAGGCTCCCAAGTCACCTCTCCTGTTGCTGCTGTTTGCTGCTGCTGCTCGTTGGGAAAGATGGAGGCTGAGGGGGGTCATCTGGCATTTTTTCAGGTCATGGCGAGATTACATAACACTGGCAAAGCATGCAGCAGCCTTCACAGCAGCTTCACCTCCAGCACCTATCCGTGGCATATGGATAATAGTGTCTAACGCAGCAACAGCTTATTCATCTTTAGATTCCTCAGTCTTACATTTAGGAAGGTGAGTTTCTTCCTGCAGACACGCTGAGCCGTCTCAACAGCGAGCCATTTTTCCACAGTGTCCTCACCAAGCACCAAGCTGTTCCTGCACTCCTGCTCCATGAGCCCTGGCACAACCTTGGCTGCGGCGACCTCCTGGCACCCACTGGCCTTCCACAGCAGCCACCTGTGTCCTGCCTGTGTCCCGTCACCCAGCCCATGCCCATGGCAGCAGCTGTGCCACGACAGCCCCGCAGCAGCTGTGCCAGGACAGCCAAGAGGAGCCCATGGGGTCTGGGTCAGGGCCATGGGCTGCGCCAACCTGATTAACTGCAAAAGGAGTGACCTGGGAAAAGGAACAAAAAGCCAGAGGGTTAGTCCTAAAGGATAAAAGAGGCTGTGTTTTGTAAATGGTCAGACACAGGAAAAGAAATGGCAGCTAAAGCAACAAGGTGTGAGAATGAGACCGAGAGGGGAAACTGAGGCAGGGTGAGCTGACGCTGGCAGGCCCTGGGGAGGCTGCTCGTGCAAGTCCGACAGAAGAGCAGTGAGAAGGGCTTTTTTACCGAGGGCTCAGTTAATATTTACCGCAGCACGCCTCTCTGCCTAAGCAGCAAGTCCACCTGCTGTGCACAACAGTCAAGCCCTCTGCTATCTGGCTTTTACCTGCTCTGCTCTCCCAGCTTTTAAAATGAACCATGAGGGCTAGAAGTGCTCGAAGGGCACTCCTGGTTGCCTGTGCTGGGTCTGGGAGCTGCAAAGAAAGGAATAAAACAATAATACACCAACTGTTACTAAGTGGAAAGAAGTAGATGCTTAACAAAATGGGATTGTTTGCATGAAATTCCCCGTAATTTCCTACCTGAAGGCAAAAGGGAAAGGGCAGTTATGCAGGCCAGGGCTCCCCTGCCACTGCCGAGGCTGGAAACTCCATAGGAACCAGGTGAAGGGCACCAGGGTGGGGGAGAGGTGGCAGGGATTTACAAAAAAAAAAGTCATCTTTGTGTTTTGCCACATGAAAGGAAATTGTGGCCACAAGCACAGACTTCAGAAAGCTCAGATTCTTGGTAACCCACAGACCATTAATCAAGGCATTTATCTGAGATAAGGATTCATGTTTTCTTGGGCAAAGGAAGGTGCTGAAGGTGGATTTTGAGCAGTCTGGTAAAACCTCTGCCCCCTGAGCCTCTGCCCTGCTGAGCTCCAAAGGAGAGACGGGGCAGCTGGTTACCCCCGCAGCCGCCCCAGAAAGGTCTCTGGGGCATTGGAGTGGGTTCCAGGGCAGGTGGTGCTTGTGCCAGGCTGGCACATGAATTCCCTTTGCTCAGCATTTCACAGCTTAGGCAGCTGTGGGCACACCCAGAAGCATATTTTATGAAATTTGAGAACTCAGGTGTTGGATAACTTCACGTGTCTCTAGGGTTGATGGCACATGAGCTGGCAGGAGCATTAAGGATGTCCGTTTTACACAACATCTGGGGTCTTTAGGTGGGATGGGAGGGCATGGTCCTGGGGTGGGACACAGCTCCCTCTGTGATGCATGAGGGAGGGACAGCCCCAGATACTTTAAGGACAAAGATTACTGTGAATAAGGCAGTGACCTTATTTGTGGAGCAAAACGCTGTAGACTTAGAAACACTTGCCAGCAAGTGACTCAGAGTCATGGGTGCCCATGGCACAGCATCCGTCCTCGGGACAGGAGATGTGAAATACTCTGATCAGGCTCCTGGGA